GAGGAGCCTGCAACCAAGGTACATGCCCTTGACTGGAATTAAACCTGGAGCCCTTTGGCTCAAAAGCCAATGCTCTATCCACTGAGCCAAACTGGCTAGGGCCCACTTTCCATTTTGCATCCTTAAGTGGCATATACCTCAGTCTTAATTCACCAGAAAAGTCAAATTAACCAAATGACTTCAAACACTTGCTGTTTTGTATAGATTTGACTGCACAATAGAATGGAAAGCACTAGCCATGAGTTAGAAGAACTTAAGCTCTAGGTCTCAAGATCTTGGAAAAGCCATTTCCTCTCATCTTAGTCTCAGTGCCCTTATCTATAAAACAAATTAGGTTAGGAGAATGCTCAATTTCCTTTCTCTGTTGACTATACCACGGAAACTATGGCTCAAATATACCCTACTTATTGCAACCCTTTCAGAGCTCAACTCTTTAATAATAAATGCTTACCTTTTAAAACATGGGTTTGCTGTAATTTTTGCTGAGATCTTCCCAAGTGCCCAGCGTATGTGTATTAGGGCCTTGGCATTCACACAGCATGATGTCATTCGGTCTTGCCTTACTTGTCCTGACCCTTCTGACAATTCCTAACAAAGTGTGTGCTCATTATGTTACCCGTGCATTATGTCCTTTCATATCATTAGTGACATTACATTGGGTTGGCAGCTCTGTTTGGAGAGACATTTGCGCCCTGAGCCAAGCAACACAGATAGCCAAGAATTAGATCATTCTATCCCCAAGTTGCCACAGACCTTCTCAGATACAGCTGAGCAATGTAACTTGATCAAGGTTAAGTACAATCCACCCTTCTTCTTTTAACCCAAGTCAAAATTCTTTTAGCTTTCTGTTCAAATCCCAGAGTAATGCTTCCTGCTCATTGTTACAAGCTGCCCTCCAGTCAACTCTCATTTATAGGCCTGTGGCTTATCCAAAGCACCAGGCTTTCTCCTCCGGCACCAGGTTCCAGGCCGGCTCCTTTAACTCTGTGCCAAATGAATACAAACTAAATCTAATATTAGCCTAATGAGAAAAGGCCATCTGCTGCCAAAGATTTGCATGATGCATCCCGAAGCCAAACGCGGGCCATTATTCACTGTTTCAGATGCTGGCATGGCTTCTCCATTATATAATACAGCAATCACGATTTTCCGTGTTTCTCTTCGAGTTAGAAAGGCGACACACAGCGTTCTAACCTGTTCTTTGCCTAGTAGGCCAGATTCTCAGGAGAACAGCCTACGTCTTCTTTTTAAGTAAATAAATCATTTGTGCAGTTAGTGTTAAGGGAATAGAAGTGCCTGGATTTGGAGTCATGAGACTTAGATTCTGATCTGAAATTCATCTTTCTCTAGTTGTAAGTGAGAAACTAAGCAAGGCATTTAAATTCCTTATTTTCTCAGCAATAAAACTGGAATACAAATTTTATGAACAAAAGGTATGGGGCAGTCACACATATACAAGGGACATGTAAAAGCCACCCTCAAAAAGTCAGGGAGACTTTTGACTGTCACTCTAACTCATCACTGTACAGGCTCTGGCAAATTGCTTGCATGGAAAAAAATGTGTAACCTTATGAAACTTGTATTTTACAGATAAAAATATAGAAAGGGTAAGTTTCCTTGTGATAAAGAAAATCAAATCTAGAAGTCTAGATTTTCTAACTTCCCAAGACTGTCTGTAGGCCACGTATCAGGACAGATCTCAGCATTCCAAGGTGGGGAACCACCAGGGTACTTCCTGCTGATAGACTGATATTCACTCCACTGCCACCTTCCAAGTTCTCCAGAAACTCAAATTCCGCCATTTTCCTTTTTCCATCTTATTCCTGTACCAGAGACCATCAATGGCTTCCCGCAGATCAGAAAGGTGCTGTCCAGAACTTTCTGTGATGTTCCCTGTCTATGCTATCCAGAACAGTAGCCCCTAGATACATATGGCAACTGACCACTTGAAATTTAGCTAGGATGATCAAGGAAAATCATTTTTTAATTTTATTCTATTTTAATACAATTAAATAGCCACTAGTGGCTAGTGGCTACCATTGGACAGTGCCCTGTTTTGGTAGAAAATAAATCCATGTTCCTCATTCTAGCATTCACATCCCATACAACTTGGCTCCAACATACTGTCCCATCCTGTTTCTACAAAAGGAACCTTGGCTGCTGAGCACAACTGTGGGTGTCTGCTGCCACACCCCAGCTCAAGGTACTTTGACTTCATTGCTAAGGGTGCCTTCCGTTCTTGTTGCTGTGTATTTGAATTGGATCCATATTTCACAACAAAGGTCAAGTTCTACCTCTACTGTAAGCCCCATCTCTGCTTCTTCTTTGAGGAGAGGGTTTATTAACCTCAGGCCTGGGCTTATCCAAGAAGTTGCCTCAGTCTATCACAGGGCTATGTCTTTGGAACTACATCTGGGAGCTGTGAGTTGCCTTCATAACTGGAAAGATAAACAGAGATTGATGGGAAACAGAGGCTGTGTCTTCTCTGTGTCAAGGAGACCCATTCCTACTTTGGCTCTCATCTGGGATAGTTGTACATGTCCCTGGGTGGATGAAGGGGTAAGGGGAAGCTGTACCTTCATAACTTCTGTGCCTCCCAATTAGATGAACCTGCTATATCTCCTATCTCTCTTGCTTTGTACCTACCTGGAAAGCTAACACAGTTTTGCATTATAGAACTTGTGGAATGGTGTACACGCTCTCTGGATTCCCAAATGCTCATAGGCATTTAGGACTTATACTGGTAAATAATCTTTGCATACCAGCATTTCACTTGGATTCATTTTCCCCCCAACTAGATTGAAAGGCTTAAAAGTGAGCTTGGTTCTCCATTGCTTTGCCTTTGGTCTATGAGAGCTGAAGGCAGCTGGCAGCACAGACAACCTCCTTCCAGAATTAGGATTCTAGCCTTTTGAGGAACTGGGGCCAAAGCCACATTCTAAGAGAGACAAAAAGGGTGGTTCTTGCCAGAATGGAAATACAAGGTGGGGCAAAAGAAGGTTTACAGTTCTAAGTACACAAAACACTGAGTTTATTCTTTTATTTTTACTTATTAATTATTGTATTATTTTCCATATGAAAAACTGTAAACCTATTTTTGTTCACCCTGTAGATATAGAAGGATATATTCTTAAGTGTTGAAAGTAATACAAGTTTCAGGATCAAGATGCTAGATTAAGCTCAAGCTACAAACCCACCCTGAGGATCTTGAAACTTACAGATACTAAAAACAATATTTTTTAATGTACGTAATGCCACGCTTAAAATCAAGGAAGAGAAATCTCTAGAAACCAGGAAAGCACAGCAGCGGGAAGGCACAAAGTTCACTCTGCTGGTTGGGACAGTTGACATGCTAAGGGCTCATTGGTTTCAAAGCCCAACTCGGTGTCAGAGCCCACAGGCACAGTAGGGAGTGGGAACCAAGTTCCCAGCATGAAGCAAATGGGAAAGTGCAAAGGAGGGAACCTGATTTGCATAGTCAGTCAGTAGCCAAGAGACAGAATGTCAAACTGAAACATAATGTAACACCTGGTCAAAGATGTTCCATCCCAAAAGATTCAGGAAGAGACATGCGTAAAACACCTCATCAGTGCTTGCTTCAGCAACACAAATACCAAAAGACACCTAATCAAGTGGCTTTCACCACCATTCAAAGTCCCCAAGATAACTTTCTCCCTTGGCCAATAACGTACCAGCAAGAATGTGAAGCCATGGGAGGAAATACAGCACCGAAAAAGGCAGAATATGGCCCACCAAAGAGGAAAAGCAACAGGTGAGCTACTAAAGTTAATAGAGCAACCTATAAGAGGCTTAAAATAAATACCATTTTTAAAAGAATGCATATTTAAAAGGGGGAAAAAAACATCAAAGAAAATGTTTTCTCCATAATCTCAACTCTAGATATAAACTGCCGCTCAAATTGTGGAGTGCACACTTCCTGACTCAGTGATGCCCTTATGCAATGAAAGCCATTTTTACATCAACAGGAATATGCTATATATGTGGAACATGCTATATGTGCTGTGCAGTAACCTGCCCTTCTTGTCCCCTCCCCAATTTAAATATTACCACACTCATGCTCCCACATAAAGACTGCTATAGATTGAATGTCTACATTCCCCTAAATTCCATGTTGAAACCTAACTGCCAATGTGATGGTATTAGGAGGTGGAGCCTTTGGTAAGTGCTTAGATAACAAGGATGGGGCCCCCATGAATGGGATTTGTGCCTTTATAAAAGAGACCCCAGGCAGTTCCATGTCCCTTTCTACCATGTGAGGACACAATAAGATGAAAGCTATCTATTAACCAGGAAGTGAGCCCTCACTAGATATTGAAACAGGTGGCACCTTAATTTTAAACTTTCCAGTTCCCAAAACTGTGAGAAATAAATTTTAATTGTTTACAAGCCATCCAGTCTAAGTGTTTTTGTTACAGAGGTACAAATGGACTAAGATAAACCCACATAGGTCTCCCTCACCTCTATCAACTAATTATTTTCCAATGTCAGTTATTATTAGTAGTGCTTGTCAGCAAAAATCCCTCAATACTCAGGCAGCCAGCTGGGCCTTTTACAAAATACTTCCAGACGCATTGTATTATTTCATCTGCTCAACTGGATGAGGGAGGCAGCCCTGATGGTACACTCTCTAAAAAGACTCTGAGGCTTGGAAAGTCACAGGACTTGCCCAACATCATAAAACGATAAATCTGAGCCTGGCAAACAAATCTTTAAGTCCAAGGCGGTCTTCACTATAGCCCATTCTCTACTGTACTCACAATCTCATGCTATGAGATTGACCACAAATGGGTTTTGATTTCACCCCAATGTGGAGGCAGTCAATATTTTCATTTATGATTACTATAATCCAGAAGCAGTATTCATTAAACTGAAGGGACAACGGTGATTAGTGAGAGCACCACCAGTCCTTCTCTGTGGCTTGACCACAGAGCAGCAATGCTGCAGTTTCAGTCTCTTTAATGTATCGAGTTAAAGCTTACCTTAGCCGTCTCAGCTTCTGCCTGCAGTCGCTTAGGGGATCCTTTTTGGTCAAGCACCTTCTGGAAATGTTTGTTTTTAATGGGTTGAGACTCAACACTTTCACCTTCAATTTGCAGCTTAATGCCTTCAGCATGAGCAGGATGATCAATACCCCGTGGATTCAAACCGCAGTGGAGAGCTAGGTGAGAGGAAAAAATATAACTCAGAAAACAAATCATGTGAAGAAGGTGTCCAGGGCAGACAATATTTCATCTGGCCTAAGTGGAAAGAGACAAGACTTCGGCGAGTTGAGCGGTGGTCTGGCAACTGTGGGAAGGAATTTGGTGAGGAAGGAGTGTTGTTGGATGGGAAACCCTAAAGTCAGACAAAAGTGCAAATCCAGAAAACATCAGTTCCAAGTTGTTGGACCTTCAGCAAGTTACTGATTATCACAATGCACACCAGAATACCAAATCAGGCAACTTTGTTAGTGAATCCCACACATTTAATTATTTCAACCCTTGCAGGTTAGCCAATAGCTCTTCCTCTATCTGAAAAAGTGCTCATTCTGCCCCCTTCTGAATCCTCTCTGTTTCAAGCATCCACTCAAGCCCACCACCCTCATGCATCACTCAACAAATATTTATTAATAGTAGTTACTATATGTCATCCCATGATACTAAAAATATGAGTGCAGGATATATTGATATGATGGATGTTACCTGCAAAGAACTCACAATCTAAGTGAAAAAGCAGACTTCAGACAATGACCTAGTGATTTAAAAACCCAACACACTTATCAACCAGATCTGAAATATCATTGCTGACATGTACACATAAGGAACTGTTTGACATTGAAACTGGGACTCAAAAGAACTGTTGGCCCAGAAAGGAACTCACTACAGACTGATTAATTTGCCTCTCAGCATAGTTACTTATGGCTTGTCTCAGTTTCGGTTCTTACAAGGGTATTTTTTGGATCACATGATCTCACACTTCTAGAGGAAATAATGAACAACATAAACTGACGAACAAAAACAGACCCAGAGAAAGAGAAGCAGTGATCAGACTCTCAAACCTCAGAGGGAAAGTAGGGGAGGGTAGGGGTAAAGGGGAGAGATCAATCAAAGGACTTGTGTGCATGCATATGGGCCTAGCCAGTGGCCATGGACAACAGGGGGGTGGGGGTGTATGTGGGAAGGGGTTGAGGATGGGAATGGGGGGATGAGGACAATTATGTGATACGATAATCAATAAAATTTAAAAAATAAATAAATAAAAATAAAAACCTGACACACTAACTTAAAAGACTATATGCATCCCTATGTTTATTACAGCATTATTTGCAATAGCCAACATTTGGAAGCAGCCCAAGTATCCATAGATGAGTGGATAAAAAAGCTGTGGTTCATTTACACAATAGAATACTACTCAGCTGTAAAAAAGAAGGAAATCTTATCTTTTTCGACACCATCATGGACCTGGAGAGTATTATGCAAAGGGAAATGGCCAGTCAGAGAAAGGCAAGTATCACATGATCTCACTCATAAGTGGAATCTGATGAACAAAATGACTTAACAAAGTGAAGACAGGCTCATGGATATAGAGAACAGACTAACAGCTATCAAAGAGGAGGGTTTTAGAGGCTGGGTGAGAAGGGTGAAAGGATTAACCAAAGGAAAAAAAAAACCACAAGACTCACAAATATAGACAACAGAATGGTGATTGCCAGAGGGAAAGAGAGTAGCAAAGGGTAAAGAGGGGATAAATGGTGATGGAAGGAGACTTGACATGGGGCGGTAAACACACATATATAATATAGATGATGTATTATAGAATTGTACTATAACCTATACAACTGTACTGAAATCTATCCAACTTTATTAACCAATGTAATCTCAATAAATTCAATATAAATAAATAAATAAAACAGAGTGATAACTGCTACATGGAAGACAAAAAAAAAAAAAAGGCAGAGTAGAAGGTGCAAGGGAGTCAAGTCTAATGTCTTCTGATTTTACGCACCTTTCCACATTCTCTGACATAAATATCCTCACAAATCAAATGTAAAGCCCATTTCCTGGACACACATAGTCAATAAATTCTTACTAAACATCTCATATGCACACACTATTATCAAAGAAAGAGCAAGAATGTTATGGGAGCCATACATTCTACCTAAATGACCACCGTGCATGACTAGGGTTATGGGGGGTGTGGGGTGTATGTGCACACACATGGCTTATGTGTATTTTAAGGTTTCTAATAGAAAGTTATCTCAATCTTCCTGTGTTCCCAACCTTCAAAATTAGTTAAATTCCCATCCTATGTCCTTCCCTGGGTGTCACCTTAAATCACCGCCCCTTCCCCCCAACTCCATCCCCTTTAGGGTTCTACTTCACTGATAAATTCCTTTTAGCCAATATCTTCAGTTTTGCCCGTTCTCATCATTATCCCCTTTCAACCAACTTCTGTGACTCTAAAAATTCTTCAGTTACTCAGCTCCCCATCCAGGTCAAGGCTTCCTTTTCCCTTTATCAGGCCTCTAAAGATTTTTTACTGCGAGGTGAGAGAAGGCTTCCCAGACAAAGTGAGCTAAAGTTCCCACCTTCCACTCCCTCCTTAACGCATTCCCTTCACTTTTGATAAAATCAACCTACCAGTGACTTCAACATTCAACGCCAGCCTAGAAAGTCTTCTTATGAAGTTTAGGCTTAAGTAAAACTGTCACTGAACTTCCTAATTTCAATGTATCACAGATATCTTAAAATTAACATTTTCAGACCTGAACCTTGATTTTCCTAAGAAAACAATGCGTGTTTTCCAGTTACTCACATAGAAACTCAAGAGTCATTCTTGACCTCACGCTCCCCATGATTCACATCCCTTCCATCTGTCAGCAGATCCCGTAAGCACTAACCCAAATGCTGCTCAAACCCATCCACTTTTCTAGCTCAACTGCTCTTGCCCACTCGAACCCTGACATCTCATTGAGAAAGTGCATAGGCCAGATCATGAGACTCTCCTGCTTCAATCTTTCTAATGGCTTTCTTTTGTACTTAGAGCATTAGAAATCTTTAACATGGCCAACAAGGCCCTGCGTTACCTCTCCTCTTTTTCCCACCATGTTATTCCTCGTTCACTCTAACCACACATTCCTTAAACATACCAAGTTCTTTAACATCTCCTGGATTTTGTCCAAGTTTCTTTGCTTGAAATGATCTTCCTCATTCTTCACCTGACTCCCACTCATCCTTCAGGCTTCGGTTTAAATACCACTTCTTCTAATATGCCTTCCCATAATCCTTTTTCTCAGCCCATCCTTTCCCCCACCCCATGCTAGATCATGTGCCTGGAATAAAAAGAATTTAAACTGATTGTATAATGGTCCATATGCATGTGACTTTATGCCACTTAATATGAAGTTATCCATGTATTTCTCTTTTAGTCCTTAATGTGCCTAAAACTAAGGACCAGACTATTATGTGGTACAAAGTGGGCACTCAACATATATTAGTCTGTTGCTCCACCCTTGGGCTTTGTGCTGGATCTCAAATAACCATCAGAAAACACTGTGAGACATAACTGTATTCATTTCTCAGATAAAAATGAGGCTCAAAGACTTTCACAAAAAGTCACACAGGTGTCGGCCTAAGGTTACAACAATCAAGTATCATTTAGGATGCAGATAATTTCAAGTTTCAGATGAACAACTCCAAAATGAATTAAATAATAAGACAATTTATTAGCTTTTGGGACAGAAAGCTCAGAGTTAGCTATCTCACAGTTCAACAGGGTTATTGAGGTCTCTGATGTACATGTTCAAATCTCTCCATTCTTGCCAACCTTCTGCTAAAGGCAATTCCTGAAACTTCATGGCTGCTACTCAACAAGGCAGGAACCAAATGGGTGCTAGAGACCCAACCATAATGCCTAATTCAGGCTGTGGTAGAAAGAGGACAAAGCCTACGAGAGCACAAGCTTCTCCAACTCCGAAGAACAGCCTCTTTACACTGAACACTCAATCATGAGCCACAGTTTGCCGAACACTGACCTAACCTAAAATTGTGATTACTAAAAAAAGGTGTGCTCATGTGGGGAGATGGGGGATTAATGTGGGATGGATTTACACATTATTGAGGAAAAGAAAAAAATAAACCTTTCACTCTGGCATGATCCCCGACTTCTTCCTGTCTTGGGATTCATGGCTCAGCAATACCACTGAGTTGCTGGCAGCTTCTAGGACCTCCTGTCCTCCCTCCCCGTCACCTTCCCACCAAGTCAGACTCCAATACATCCTCCACCTTTGCTCAAGCTGGTCCTTCCTCCTAGAAAGAGTTCTACTCCCCCTGAATCCATTTCCTTCTTTGGGAGACAGGCTAGAGCCTCCTCAGTCCAGGTGTCAGGTCAGACTGCTCTTTCTAGGGTTGCTGGCTCCCAGAGTGAGAAGCCCCAGGCTATGCTCCCTCCATGCACACAGTATCCTGGAGCTTGACCTCCTGGCTGTACTGAGGATGTCTACCTAATTGATCCGTCTGCCCTGCCCTGCCCACCCCAACTGCAAGCTCCTCCATAGAGGCTCCACGTCTCATTCAACCATGATCACCACCCCTCAGTCCAGAACCTGGCACACAGTAGACATCTAAGAAACCTTTGTTCAGCTGCTAAATGAATCGACCATCTCCTCTTTTTTTCCCCTCACCGATGCCTTTAAGTCTGAGGGAAACTATTCCCTGCTAGTAAATACCTAGCGTTCAAAGTGTAAGGTATCTATAAACATGAGGCAGAATGCGGCATTTTGACTTTCTACACACGTAGCCGCCTTCCTCACACAAATATTTTAATCCTCCATAGCTGTTCTGCCTTACCTGCAAAGCCAGGAGTTGATTTAGGTTTCTATGCTTGGGTTTGTTTATTTAAAACCATTTCTGACAGCCTTGGCTTTGTTTTCCCTGAATTTCATGTCCCTAATATTTATATATCAAGCAACTTTCAAATGCCCTCTTGCAAGCTGTGACTGCCATTTCTTTGCACATCATGTAAAAGGTGCCCTAGTTCGTTTTCTCTTTTCTGTTTTCATCAATGCCCCTCTTGTTTTCAATAAAGTTATTTACTCAATTTGAAGGGCTCTGCAGCTCACAGGTTGGCTGAGATACCTTCCTCATGTTCCCTTGATCTTCCCGACCAGTCTCATGCCTT